CGAGGGTTCTCCATCAGTTGTCGTACCTAATACCTCTACTTAGATATTCTATTTAAACCCTTTGATCTAACCCTAGTATTAATTTTACCAGATTACAGACTCAGATCTATTCACATTCAACTATAGGACTATAATCCTTAGACTATTTTTATCCTTAAGATAAACCTACTAGAGCGAGCTATATTCCCTTTTATCACTAACCTGGTTTGATGCTATGACTGAGGCCAACATTTGCAGTCAGGATTACCCTTTAAACTGCTATTACTCTTGTAAAGTTCACCCAAACCCTGGTACCCATCTTTCTGACTTTTTCTTCATCATCCCCTACTAGCCACAACTTAGAACTAACTGACTCTCCAGACTCTTAATCCAGATGGCTTGATATGGTATACTTATGTATCCTTTTCCTTTGGTGATTCTGGTGGCCTGATTGGTCATATGCTCCTCTATGCATCTTTGTTATCTGGTTTATCTGACAGTTCTTATAAAAGTGTTTTATGGGCTTCCGTCAGTTCAATGGCACTATCGAAAGTTTTGCTACCTTTTTACTTAGGATTTTCAAATGAGTTTTCGTCTCTTTAGTTTCTTAGCCTTTTATGCCCAATAGTCTTATTATAAGTTTGCCTGAAGTCTTATACGACACCAGTTTTACATTCCTCTATGTATATGTACTGTGTAATGTTACACTTCGCATAGATGCCCCGAGCTCCCAATGTCAGGTAGGACCTGACTTGATGTACCTAAGATTACAGATGCCCAAAACCCAACTGATCGGCAAGAGAGTTACTGTAACACAAATATAATTTCCAAAATTCATCATCCATGGGAATTGAACCTTAGACCTGCCATTTGAGAGTTAACCTATCCACTTCACTAGGTCACCACACCCCTAATTTTTTATATTTTAAAACATCTATTATATTATACTTATATTAAAATTTTTATCATAACTTTGATTGAAAATATCTCAGCAACTATTTGATCAAATTTGATAAAAAATTTTTTATTTGAATTCTATAGATCTGTAGAATTCAAATAAAAAAATTTTTATCAAATTTGATCAAGTAGTTGCTGAGATATCTTTAATCAAAATTGTAATAAAAATTTTGATATAAGTATTATATAATAGATATTTTAAAATTTGAAAATAATTTTAATTGAAAGTATCACAATAATCATTTGATAAAATTCAATAAATTTTTTTATTTGATTTTTACAGATCTGTAGAATTCAAATAAAAAAATTTTCATCAAATTTGATCAAGTAATTGTTAAGATATCTTCAATTAAAATTTTATTAAAAATTTTAATACAAGTATTATATGATAAACATTTTAAAATTTAAAAAATTAATTTCTATTAATAATATCTTAGTAACCACTTAATTAAATTTAATAAATTTTTTTTTATTCAAATTCTACAGAACTGTAAAATACAAATAACAAAAAATTTATTGAATTTGGATATATAGTTGCTAAGATATTATTAAAAAAAGTATAAAAATTTTTGTACTAATTTTATATGATAAATATTTAAAATATTAAATTGAGAAGCAAGGTGTGGCAACCTAGTGAAGTGAATAGGTTGTTAATCCTCAAGTGGCAGGTCTAAGGTTCAATTCCTATGGATGACAAATTTTGGAAATTATACCTGTGTTATAGTAACTGTCTCTTACCGATCGGTTGGGTTTTGGATATCTGTAATCTTAGATACACCAAGTCAGATCCCACTTGACATTAGGAGCTTGGGGCATCTATGCGAAGTGTAACATTACACAGTACATGTATATAGAGGAATATAAAACTGGTATTGTATAAGGCTTCAGGCAAACCTATAATAAGACCATAGGGCGTAGAAGGCTAAGAAACCGAAGAGACAGAAACTCACTTAGAAATCTCGAGTAAAGAGGTAACACAAACTTTTGATGATGCTATTGGACTTATAGAAGACCATGAAACACCTTTATAGGAACTGTTAGATAAACCGGATAACAAAGATATGTAGAGGAGCACATGACCAACCAGATCGCTGGAATCGCCAGAGAAAAAGGATACATAAGTATATCATATCAGGCCATCTGGATTGGGAGTTTGAGAAATCAGTTAGTTCTGAGTTGTGACTAGTAGAGAATAATAGAGAAGAAGTCAGAAAGATGGGTACCAGGATTTGAGTAAACTTTACAAGGGTAATAACGGTTTAAGGGGTAACCCTGACTGCAAGTGTTGGCCTCAGTCATAGCATCAAACAGGTTAGCGATAAAAGTAAATATAGCTCACTCTGGTAGGTTTACCTCGAGAATAAAAATAATCTAAGGATTATAATCCTATAATTGATAGTGAATAGATCTGGGTCTGTGACCTGGTGAAATTAATACTAAGGTTAGATCAGAGGGTTTAAATAGAACACCTAAGCAGAGGTGTTAGGTATGACAACTGGTAGGAAACCCTCGGACGGACTTCTTAAATAGGTAATATAGAAAAGTTACACATGTAGCCAGTTGTACACTCGTCTAATAGTTCATTATAGATACGTCTATATAAAACATGTACCCGCTATAAGTATTAATAAAAAGCTCGGACCAAAGAGGTCACCTTAATACCGAAAAAAAAAAATTTAAATTGAGAAGCAAAATTGATAATCATTGATCTCAAATTTGATTGGTCGATCATTTAGAGTCACATAGAGACGGGTTGCTAATGTATTTTTGTCAAAAAAATAACTTTATTATTGCTTTATTCTAACTTTAACTAAAGATTAGTTTTAACTTTAAGTTAATAAAAAATAATTGTTTTGTTTATTATTACACATAATCTTATAGTTGCATTCAAAGTAGCATCATAGTGTTATAGTATTATAATAATATTTTCATTTTTTATAGTGCTGAATATTTTTATTTAAAAAGTTAAAATAGATCAAATTCATAAAATTTTGAGTAGTTTTATTTATTTATTTGTCCAAAAAACCATGTTCACAACTAATCCGTAACAACATTGGTCTAATGTAGCTATCTAATCAATATTTTGGGTTTAGTACTTTATGATATAACAAATTACATATGGAGAATACTCGTAGAAACAGCTGCATAATATTAGACACATAATGGTTAGAAATGCAATTTTTCTGTATCCGTATGTAATATATTTCGGATTTTTAATAAAGTAACATTAGCGAAACTGCTAAAGTAAAAAAAAAACTATATACTGTATATTTATTGTTATTATACAAACTATTAATAACAAATATAACTTGTATATTTAAATAGAGATTTTTGGTAACTAGGAAAAGTAATTTTAAAAGAAGTTTATAGAGCTTGCTCTTCAATATTTAATATCAAAAAAAAAAAATTTTATAAGACATTTTTTAGGTTTTTCACAATATTGGATTTTATGAAATATGATTGGTAAGATTGGTAAGATTCGCTATAATAATATTTTATTAGTAAATCCATTAGAGAATGGTCATTATAATGGATGGAATTTCCAATCCGGTATAGCGAGGGTGAACTGTGTAGTAAATAACTTTTAGCAAAACACCTTTAAAGCATTTCTCGCACTAGATACCTTTTTTAATTAGTTGACTTACTTGTCTTCTAAATAAATTTAATCAAGTTCAGTTCTAATTGACTTTTCGAATTGAGTCCGAATTTGAATAAACCTCTGACCAAATCGGATCGCGTGAAACACTAAATTCAGCCAGCATTTAAAGTATATATTCGGTCCAGAATTATTGAGAAATTTTTAAGGGTTCAACTCCTGAAAAACCATTATATTATCACTTAGGTCTATTTCTAACAAACTATAATATTTGATTGGTTATTAATAAATCAAACTTTTAAGAATTGATTTATTGTGAGACTTGGCGTTCACTTAACGTTAAGAGTATTATATAATAAATTAGACACATAATTAAATAATGTAACTTGAGCACAAAAACGAGTGTATTAATACATCTCGTACGTAGGTACAAATTCATTAACTGTTAACAAATTGATACAAATTCGGCCTCATGTTTATCACAACAATTAATTTCATCCAATTTTTTAATGAATTCTTTGACCAATTGATTTCCACAAAATGATTCACGAGTAAATTCGTTAGATTCACAACATGATGATAATATTATAGAGGGATCATTACAAGAGCGCTTTTTGGATCTTTGCACCAAAAGCATTGAAGTGGGGGATCTTTGCACCAAAAGCGTTGAAGGAGGGGATCTTTGCATCAAAAGCATTGAAGGAGGGGATCTTTGACACGAGAGAGAGAAATCTTCATCATGTTGATAGAGATATAAAGTTGCTTCGTCATCTTCACTACACCCTTTAAACAGATGTCCTTCATCACTTTCTTCAGTATATTGTTCATTAGAAATTATGGAATTTTGAATAATACTTGGTATGAATGGGCGCGTTTCCATACATGTATCCGATGGATTTGGATCAAAATTAATGTAATCGAATTCGGATCTTTTGAGCATTGAAAAACAGAAGCCATTGTAAAATGTAAGAATTTCGAAAATTAAGAATTTGATTATTAAATATTTCATTGATCTTTTTATAAGATGAGGCATCATGAGATGTTAATTCGATGAAAGGTAAAAGGAAATTATTTAAAAGGATTTCTTATATGGATGAATACTTATGCCATCAGTTTATTGTGATTAATATCGTAGTTACGAATCTTTTAATACATCAAAGGCCTTCATTATGTGTACCGAGAGTTTACTATATCAAGATGAGTTATGTTATTATACAGTTAATACGTATATATGTATGAATATATTATGTATAGAAAAATTACAGAAATACTATAAATACTTAAAAATCATTATAATTTTACCGTTACGAACTGTTGCATTAGTTTGCATAACATTAACGTTAACTGTTAATAAATATATCGATATCGATATTAGTACGTATACAGTTTGTCCAACTACTGCATTACAATTACAATTCGTGGTGGAACACATTCAAGTCATTCAAGTCTATAAGTATTACACAGTTCCAGCTTAGTTCATTAGTTTCAAGCTAACGCTAAATACACCATAACGATAACGATTAATGCACTCTTGGTGAAATAAGACATGTGACTTGAATTAGTGTTTCGTTTTTCACATGTCATCATTACCATTGGAGATTTACAGGTTACGCATCTCTCTAACTTGATTTATCAATAGAAGAATAGGGTTTTCACATTAATTCACGTGAGGTTAATACAAAGTATTACCGTTACCGGATTTAACGAAATTTAACCGCGTTTGTTTATATGACGACTTTAAAATTTGTAAAGGTCGTAGTTTCTTTTGTTCACCGCAAGTAGTGAACAATCCAAACTTTTTTCAAAATATTTTACGTAGTTTTTTTTCTTTTTTTCAAAGGTAATATTATATCTATTTGTTTGTTCCATTCTTCTGAATTTTTTGCATTTCATTGGATCATTTAAGTTTGGTTACCTGTTACGTCGATTCTGCAACGTAACAACAACGTTGCACTCGCATACGTATTAATTCTCGAAAAATATTAAAATATAGTTTTTACCCAACGTCCTGGATAATCTTTTTTTTTTTTTTTTAGAAAAAAAAAAAAAAAATTATATACAGAGTGTATTTTCGTTTACCTTCTTCCCTTATCCTTTATTCCGTTTTCTTCGTTAATCGAAGACAACTTTGAATACTTCATGGAATACCATATTGTTCTCGAACAATTTTTTTCAGTTTACACCAACTGAATAATACACTCTTATATTTTTAAATATTATAGACTCAAAAAATTTTTCATGTCTCTAAATATTTTTAGAACACTCAGTCTTTATAAACTTGCAATTCTTTTTCACTTTTACATTTCAAAGCATTCACTTTTTCTTTTATAATATATTGTATTCTTATTTGTATTTTTATAAACATATATATAATAATAGTTTTATAACTTATAGGAAAATGATACTTTCAAAACGTTTCACGGACATTTTTTGGTTGCTTCCGACAATAACTTACCCAGCTTTGGTAAACTTTGTTGTACCAGGGTTGGGTGACTATTTATTTTTAAAAGCTTTAATCGAAATAATTTATGGACGGGTCCATAAATTAAAAGAATTTAAACCTCTAATACTGGTATGTTTTATGTTTTTTATTTATCATTTCTCTTATTCTCTTATCTCTTATTAATTATTAACCTATCTGTTATCATATTTTAAAATACTATTTTCTAGTCCATCATTTCAATAATATTCAATTTACACTTTCCATTGTCAGAAAAACTTGATCAAATAACTCGTCATAAATTAAATTTATTATTATCTGAATCCGGACTTGATTCCTCAAAAATTACTTCAGAACGACAGCAAACCTTGGTTGATCGAATGAAAGAAGAAAATCGACAATTATTATCAAAATTAACCAATTTGGAAAATGTATTTAAATCTGAACCAACTAAAAAAATTTCAACAATGCCTATATCATATAATACACTTCATAAAAATCATATGAATCATCTAACAGGAAATATAAGTAGTAGTGATAATGAAGATGACTATTGTAATATATTAACAAATACTCGAAAACGAACTCTTCGTAAATCTCGACTTAATAGTAATAGATGCATTAGTCATACAAGACAACGTAGTTCTGGATATTCTTCAAGTAGTAATGCAGCCACAACAAAACATTCTTATTTATTCTCTTCTATGAATAATGGTGATACGGATATTACAGGTTTTAGTTCTGGTGATGATATTGATGAAAAAGCTGAGGCTGGAAATAAAGTATATTGGATGCATAAAATTATAGAAACTGTCGAGGAATATGATCCTCGTCAAACATATACTTTAGAACGTATTGGTTCTGGGTATGTATTAATAAAAAATTAGTTAATTAATTATACATACATATATATATTATATATATATTATATATATATTAATTAATTAATTTATTTATTTGTTTATTTATTTATTTATATAAATTTAATTTAATAACGAATTTATTTCTTTTAAATAGTGGAAGTGGTAAATTATATAAAGCAACAGATAACCTTACCAACCGAATAATAGCAGTGAAATCAATCAATCTTATGGACTCAAAACTACTTAATGTCACTTATGCTGAAGTTATTGCTTGTCGAATACTTAAACATCCAAACATTGTTACCAATTACAAACAATCTATTATGGATAACTTTGATCAAATTCCCACTACCTCATTTTTTGATTCATCCACATATAAGCACTCTTTATTTAACGAAAATTGTTATTCGATAGGTGATAATTGTTATAAAGAGTTTAGTAGTCCTACTTTATGTTTATTTATGGAATACTGCGAAGCTGGATCTTTGTGGGAGGTTCGAAATAAAAGACCTCAAAAACGATTTAATGAAGTTGAGGTTGCATTTGTAATGCGTGAGGTGCTAAAAGGATTAGAATTTTTGCATGGTTTGGGAATCATACATCGAGATATTAAAGCTCAAAATATCCTTATAAGTAATGATGGTGGTGTTAAAATAGGTGTGTATAAATCAAAATATATATTAAATATATATCATAAAATTTTTTGAAAAGTTTTTATTATGAATTTTACTAATAATTATATTATACTTAGCTGATTTTGGTTCCGCTTCTTTACGATGTCGTGCGAATTTAAAACTTGGCACTTTATATTGGATGGCTCCCGAAGTATTAAAAGCCCAGAGTTACGATTGTAAAGTGGATATTTGGTCTCTGGGTATACTAGCCATAGAATTATTTGAAGGAAAACCTCCATGGTATCCAATGGGACAACGAAGAGTAAGTTATATATATTATATATACAAAAATATATACTTATTTATTTATTTATTTCTTAATTGATTTATTTTTATTCTAATTTATGTTTTCATCAACTTAAGGTTGTGGAACTTATAAGAACAGTAGGAACACCACCATTACCATCAGGGCTATCTCCTGATTTTGAATCATTTCTCAGAGATTGTTTAACAATTGAGGCTGAATGTCGACCTAGTGCATATGAACTTTTGAACCATTCATTTATGAAATATTGCGAACGGGTCAATAAGTTGTCTATTTAATTTTTTTTTTTAGTGATTGTATATATTTGTATAAAAAAGTTACTGTATTGTATACGTTATTGAATTTTTGTCTCAAATTTTTAGCAGACTAGAGTTTAGAAACTGAAATTCGTTATCTCAAAAGAACTATCTATCATCATTATTATCATTATTATCATTATTACGTATTATTATCATTGTTGACAATATTATGACTCTATCTGTTTTAGCAAAGTATCTGATTTGCAGTAAATTACCATTTGAATAAAACATTGATTTTACAAAAAGTATTGCTCACTAATTAAAAAATTGGTAAGAACATGCATTAAATCTATTATATAACGATAATAGTTAAATTTTAATAATTGAATTTGATAATGTGTTATATAGTGTACATAGTATATATAATATAATTAGGGACGTGTCAGATATCGATGTTAATTGGTATCGTGAAATTAGAGTTATGATTCGATTAGAGTCAGCTTAGTCTTAGCCGGCTTAGTCGGCTCTAATAAAATACTATAAAATTAATATATAAATTTATAATGAATCGTTTATTTAATTGGTATCGTGGAATTAGAACTATGATTCGATTAGAGTTAGCTTAGTAGTCTTAGTCAGCTTAGTCGACTGTAATAAAAATACTATAGAATTAATACATAAATTTATAATGAATCGTTTATTTTTGATTTGATTGGTCAAAAATTACGATGTTTATTAATCGGCTAAGTATACAAGCTAATCCGATTTTTATATCGATATTGATAGGCCTCGACTATGTACTAACACGTAACGGTAGTGGACAAAAAAATATCAGGTATAAATATATTTATATTACAGTACTACGTATCCAGTAGTGTTCCGCAAACGGGTACCCGAATTGGAACCGTGGGGATTTTTAACATTCATCGTCAAGTATTTCTTAATTGTATAGTAACTATATATATAGTCACTACGTATTAAAACTTAACAGTAAGTATAGAGTTACCACATACAGTTGTTACCATGTAGTTACTGCGCATTAAGATATTCAAATTTCTGTTAGTAATAATTGAGTCTCATTCTATCATTACCCAATTGCTTAACGGGGGGTACCCGTTTGCGGAACACTATTATTCAGAATGGAATCACAGATATTATTGTGGTACGTCACTTAGAATTTATACTCAGAATCAGAGTGCCGTGCGGATTCTTCTAATCTTTAAAGTACCACAACACTATTGCATCAAGTATACGCTAAGTTGTATTTGTTTAAGTATTTTCATAAATTCTGAGACAAACGAAAATCGAATCGATAAGTTACAAAGTTAGAAGAAGTCAACAATTTCGAAATAAGAACTTATCGATTCAGCTTTGCTGCACGTGTCTATTAGGTATTATGCAACTTGTAATTCATATACTTTCCAAAGTTTTTTAAATTTCATTAAATACTATTTTATATGTAAAATAAGCTATTAATACAAAAATAAGAAAAAAATAGGCATTATTTTATTTTGATTAAATAATACTCTAAAGTAACCGTACTCTGAATTTAGGATACATTAAAGAAAACTACAAGTACAGTACTTCAATTTACCTATAGGGTACGCTATAAAATGGGTACTTACACTCTATATGGAATTATTATGATAACGATAAGCACTTATGCTTACGTACAAATTCTGTTTATGATAATACTGTAATACGTAGCGTTATTCGAGACTTAGATTAACAATTTTTGATAGGCAAAATATAGTCTGAAATGCATAATTTAACTAAATTCACCGGTGATATTAAGGGTAGAGTGTACGTAGATCATTGTCATATGTTTTGCATGATACATTTCAATTTGTACGAAAAATTGAAAGATGCTACGTATTACTAAAACTTTTTATACGTACGTAATAATATTCAATTTTTATTACGTAAACTTTCATGTTACATATATTTTGCAATGGTATAAATTTTAATAAACAAAATATTTTAAAAAAATATTCTTGTATATATTATGAATTTTCCTGGGATTGTTCAAATTTACCAGGGTTACACAAAATCGTTGATTTTGATTGGTTTATATCATGACAATCATATGACAAAAAACTTTAAATGCACGTACCACCGTTAGAATTAGAAAAATCTATTTTACAACTGTACTTAAAAACAATTAATAACATTTTGTGTGAAATATTTAACGTTAATATAAAAAAATTACCACCAAGATCATATGAATAATGATTTACGTATACTCTACCCTTAAGAAGATATAATTTAATATATGTTATGTCAATCAATTCCTTTTTGGGCGCCAATAAATATTTTCGTTGAAAATTTTTTAAGGTCACGTGAAAAGTATATTTGTAATTTAGGCTGAAACTCTAGAAATTATATGTTCGGCTGGAATTAATATTTGTAACTCGGGCTGGAAATTACGAATTCGGTCAGAATTACCACTAAGCATAACATCATCAAACGCGTGATTCTCACAATATGTTGTTTCCCCAGGTTAGGGCGCGTCAATTATGTGTATCATTTCATATGTCTAATGAGATGCGTCACTGGAAGATCAACCGATATGGTACGTATACTGGTAAGGTAATTCTTTACAGTAAATAAAAATATACTGTCTTTGGATGTTGCCTTAGTATAATACTATAATTTGATTGGCTAATATAAATGAATTGTTTAGAATAATGATACGCAAATATTAAAAAGAATCATACATTAGTTTATTACGTAATGAAAATTATCTTTTTTTTTGTTATACGTATAGTCAGAATTGTATAATCTAGTCTAGGTTCTAAAGCAAAATAGTTTTGTTGATTACTAATTGATTTTGCGTTTTCCTCTAGACTAATTCTAGGTACTCGGAATATACCCAGGAATCTTTTATCATTATCATCATACGTATCGTCATTCTAGATACTGTTGATAATGTTGATAATGTTGATAATGCATAATGTTGATAATGTCACGAGACAAATTAAATATCGGTGAGATACGTGATATTAACGTTAAATTATTTTTATTTAAACTTTGAAAACAAATTTTATTATAAAAAATTATTGAATTTCCATCTAACTCCAATACTGTACAATGAGTTAAAATTCAACATTTAAAAAAATACATTTTGGCATTGCTTAACAAGATTAAGGTGTTGGTACCATTGTTCTCGAATGACTTTAAATGACCAAATGACCAATTTTTTCACTAAGGTAACTACACAATAGTATTGTATATTATTAGCCAGCAGAATAAAATTTATAAAATAGGTTAATTTGATATTTGAGCATTCTAAGTTCAATTGATTTTAAAATAACAAAAAATTTATTTCATGTAAATGGTCTGGTCATTTGAGAACACTGGTTGGTACAGTATAAAGCATAAATTTACTTAAAGTTACTGTACAAACACACTTATATTCTTAATAATAACTAAAAGAAAAAAGGTTTAAATTTTAATCACTGCAATTATTCTACAATTATTTTATATGAAAAAACAAAGAGTTAATAAATTTAAATAATGATTATATGAGAACTGACTACGTAGTCTAACAAAATGGCGATCTGGAAATTTGGGAATTCTCCGATTAATAATAAATTTATCATTTTATAATAATCATTTTGATGATTAATCGGAGAATCCTTTAATTCCCAGATCGGCATTGAATTTTCCTGGACCAGCTGAAAAATAGATTCAATTTTAAAAAACTTCGAACTGAGATTTATTTTTTTAAATTCTGTAATCGGGTGTATTCTAATTACATTATCAGTTATGTAATAAATATGTATATTGTATATGTAATTCAAATCAAAGTTCGAATCATACTTAACAAGATATTATATGATTACGTATTGCAGACCAATAATAGATCAAGAATTTATCATACGTACGTACGTATAAGCTGATGTCCTGCATTATAAAAGTGCTTGCATAACGATAAGTGCAAAATTTTATTTATCGTTATGGATTTATAGACCGATCTCTTAAATGCGCATATCAATATCGATATTTTTTTGGCAAGTTTTTCCTACATTTCCGAAAATTCCCGACCATGACTTCTGGCCGGATTATATCGCCTGGACTAAATTATCATTATGCTATATTTTTTTTATTACCTGTTATTAATTTTGGGTGGATTAATTTGGGTAGGATTAAGGCGTACCGTTACACGACAAAAAAATATCGTTTTGACCCATAAAAATATCGATTTGTACTTATTAAAAAAATTCCTGGTTTCAGAACAATAAGAATTCGATGTCACTGGGTTTTGTTTCGCAAATACAGTAAGTACCTGGCGCTATATATATACCTACGATAAATAACAATCATACGATACCTTAAATCATACGATGTAACGATGACGACGCCCTGGAATCAAAAAGAGAGTTTTTTTTTCTTGGCAATCATTTTTCCATGAATGATATCACTATAATAAAAACAGGATTATCGTGTATGTCCGTTTTTTTTTGGGGAGAAGCATTTTAAATACTTGATAAGCTTCCATTGAAAACACATTGTTTTTCCTTTTCCGAATTGGCAATCTATCTAAAACACAATAAGATCAACTTCGCCTATCAATATCTGAAAACCAAATTTGCTGATAGTGATTTTTTAAGAATAAGTTTCTGTCACGTGCCAAACAACGAAAAGAAATTCCATTCCTTTTATTTGAATTATATATATCAGATCTATACTTTCAAGCTAACACGTATCTGTGCACCAGTATCGGTATTTGTTCTGAGGGACGAAAATGAAGACATACTTTCCCAATATCACAGATTGTCTTTAAGTGTCGGATTAAGTGTGATACAAAGTGCGCCTAATAAACGTAATATTTATATATACGTAACATAAATATTTTTAAAATGGAGATTGATTCCTTTACGTATACCGATACCGTTTGTTATGCCATGATTCCCACGAAAACTTAAGGCATAATCTTTATATCATATCATCAGATATTCAGAACATTAGTTTATCTTAAATATCTATCCTTTGCCAAATTTCCTTAACCAGAAATGCTTTATTGACAGGCGGTGTGCTTACATGTGTTGTTGAATTAATGTGTATTCAATATATTTTGGATTAACGATGTTAAATTTTTTTTTTTTCTTACCATCAAAATATTATAATTTGCCTATTTTATAGATTTTTGGATTTTTAATTCCTAATGAAATAAATTAAAAACCCATAAACGGATTTAACTGATCGTACCCATCATACCAAGGCTTTGCATTATATGCGTGGTTTAAAAAATTTTTGTTCAACTTTAGATATAAAAAGCCATTATTTCTTAATCATTATTTATTAACAACCATAGGGTACTCTTATACCATTCCATTTTTTTTTTTTTTTTTTGTCAGGTCTCTTTTTCTTCTTTTTTTGGCATTAGCACGATATATCCTGAGAAAATTTTTTTTTTTAAAATTTGAATTTTTTTAATTTGAGAATACTTTGGTAATTTAATTGGTTGTTTATTCACCAAAAGATAAAAAAAAAAAACATCGTAAAACAATAAAGCAATAAAATAATTATTAGGCAATATGTCTCGCGACGTTCATAACCCTCTTCTTTTTGAAATAGCTTGGGAGGTTGCAAACAAAGGTAATTAAATGAATTTTTGTATTTGTATGATCTTGTAATACTACATTTTTTTAATGTGTTAATATAATATTTTTTAACATGAATTAAAACTTTGTTTTCTCATGAATTAAAGTTGGTGGAATACACACTGTTATAAAATCAAAAGCTCCCGTTACTGTTCACGAATATGGTGATAGCTACACTTTAATTGGTCCTTATAATTTTAGAACTGCTGCAGCTGAAGTGGAATCTGAACCTGTGACTAATTCTTATATGAGGGAAATTCTCGATGATATGGCTTATCAAGGTATCAAATGGATGTATGGTAGATGGTTAATCGAAGGTGCTCCTCATGTCCTTCTCTTTGATACTACTTCTATCATTGAGAGACTTGATGCTTGGAAAGCTGATTTATGGAATGTGGCTGGTATTCCCTCTCCTCCAAATGATCAAGAAACAAATGATGCGGTCCTTTTTGGCTACCTCGTTGCATGGTTCTTGGGTGATGTAAGTAATTAAATCTTTCCTTTTCGATACGTTTTTTACTTGTGCCACCGTGTAACACTGTTTATACGTGTTCGATCATGTAACGCGAAATTTTTTTTTTTGTAGTTTGTTGCCAAAGAAAAATCCAGAGCTGTGATAGCTCATTTTCATGAATGGCAGTCTTCATGCGCTATCCCTCTTATGCGTAAAAGACGTACTGATGTAACTACCATCTTCACCACTCATGCTACCTTATTGGGTCGTTATCTATGTGCTGGTTCCATCGATTTTTACAATAACATTACAAAATTCTCCGTGGATGAGGAAACTGGCAAGCGTGGTATATATCATCGTTATTGTGTAGAACGTGCTGCTTCTCATTGTTGTGATGTTTTTACCACTGTCAGTCAAATCACCGCTTTTGAAGCTGAACATTTGTTAAAAAGAAAACCAGGTAAAAATTTTATAAAAAACTTTTACACCATTTTTTCATAACGTTTTTTATAAACCGTTTTTCTTATAACATTGTGTTTTATTTTTATCTATTCTATTTTTTTTAAGATGGTGTACTTCCTAATGGTTTGAACGTAATCAAATTTTCTGCTATGCATGAATTCCAAAATTTACACGCAAAGAACAAAGAAAAGATTCATAACTTTGTTCGTGGCCATTTCTATGGTCATTATGATTTCGATCTTGATAATACTTTATATTTTTTCACTGCTGGTCGTTATGAATACAGAAATAAGGGTGTTGATATGTTTATAGAATCTTTGGGTCGTAAGTATCTTATACTTATTATCAAATTTAATATAACTTTAAAATTTATTTATTTCCAAATTTTTATTTACTTTTCATTTATTATAGGTCTTAATGCTCGTCTAAAAGCTTGTAACTCTCCTGTAACTGTCGTTGCCTTTATCGTAATGCCTGCTTCTACACACTCATTTGCTGTAGAAGCTCTAAAAGGACAAGCTGTAACAAAACAACTTCAAGAAACTGTAAAAGAAATCACTGATAGAATTGGTCAAAGAATATTTGATAAAGCTGCCCGTTACACTGGGTAAATTAATTATAATACTTATAATTCAACTATTAATATTTTATTATTGTTTTTTTTTTCTAATGTTTACTTAATATGATTTTTAGTGGTGATATAAACGAAGCTGTCATTGATCCTCTTGAACTTCTCACTAATGAAGAAAAGGTGCTTTTAAAACGTCGTGTTATTGCTCTCAAACGTAGTACATTACCAGCCATAGTTACACATAATATGTGTGATGATAATGCTGATCCAATTTTAATGCAATTACGTCGTCTTCAACTTTTTAATCATCCAACCGATCGTGTGAAAGTAATTTTTCATCCGGAATTTTTAAGTTCTAATAATCCTTTAATTGGTTTGGACTACGAAGACTTTGTTCGTGGATGCCATCTCGGTGTTTTTCCTAGTTATTATGAACCTTGGGGTTATACTCCTGCTGAATGTACTGTAATGGGTGTACCTTCAATAACAACTAATCTCTCTGGTTTTGGTTGTTTCATTGAAGAAGTTGTTGAAAATTCTTCGGATTATGGTATATACATAATAGACCGTAGAATGAAATCTGTTGAAGAATCTGTTCAACAACTTGTTGATTGTATGTTACAATTTTGTCAAAAATCAAGACGTCAAAGAATTAATCAACGTAATCGAACTGAAAGATTATCCGATTTATTGGATTGGAAATTAATGGGAATGGAATATGTTAGAGCAAGAAAATTAGCTTTACATCGTGCTTATCCTGATAGTTTTATGGGTTCTGATCTTGGCGATTTTCAACAATATAAATTCAAAATTCCTAGACCATTTTCTGCTCCCGGTTCACCTAGAATTAAGGGTAGTATCAATTCCGATAGTGTTGATGATATATCAGAACAAATGACAGCTTTGGGTTTTAGAATGGGCCATGATGATGAAGATGAATATCCGTACCCTACAATCTTAAAGAGAAGTGATTCATCACGAAATTTATTTACTCAGAATGAATAACCTATCTAATATTTAATTAAATTAGTTAACCGTACGTACGTACGTAATGGGACTTTTTTTTTACATTAGGTTAGGTTAGGTTAGGCTAGGCTAGGCTAGGATTTAAAAAAAAAGAAAACCAAAAATAAAAAAGAAATTTGAAAATAATTATTTTTAGTATTTTTTTTTTAAAAAAAAGGAAACTGGTGTTCGTAATCACTAGCGCTAGTGGGCTGAAGCTATCTTTTAATCATATATGTATATGTATTTCTTTAAAACAAAAGTAAACATTTAATTCTACTTTGGAAACGATAAAAAAAGCATTTATTTTTTAATTGAACTGATTGATTTATTATGATTTATTATTTATTTAGTAAAATTTGTATAAAAAACAAAATTACACTTAGTCATAAAATTACACTTAAATTGTCATATAATAATTCTACAAACATTAATAATTTTTAACTAAAATTAATTTGAAAAATCTCGATATTACTTTTCTTGTTCATTTTTTTTACAATGATTTTAACGCGAAAATTATCTCACGTTTCATATAAGGTTATTAATATGAAATTGTCGACTGCGTGGTTTAAAATATAAGACAAATACCAGGGTTTATGTTTAAAACTCGTGATTTTTCGATTTTATTTTGATCCTCATAATCGTAAAAATTGTAAAATTGTAAACATTGTGAAATTTGTTTACGGTTTTGAAGGTCGCTATTTTTTTTTTGCAACATCTTTTTTTGAAAACGCAAAGAATAATTTTGTTAATATTTCATGCTGAACCTGACTATGTTTATAGTTAGGCTTACGCTTATTACTATATGATAACAATAATGTGTTTTTTTTATGTTAATGTTAGTACATAACATATTTGATATTTGATATACCTCAAATTTTTGATCTGATTATCAGTAGATAAGCATTAACGTTAATTTCTAATTATAATAATTTTTTTTTTTAATCCTGTTAATGTCTTCTGTTAATGTCTTTCGCAGAGTTATTACGTAGATCACGTTTAGCCACTTTTGACCCTTCATTACCACAAGTTTATACATCGTATGGACGTTACAAAACCCGTGGAGAATGGGGTCTAAAACGTAATCTTCCACCATTCTTACGTACCAATGTTATAACAGTTGGTGCACTTGATACAATAGAACATCAAACTCCTTATAAAAGTGCAGAAACAATGGTAAAATTCACCAAATGTTGGAAAGAAAACTTTCCTTTATCAAAAATGGTTAAACCTAGAAAAGAAGAACCTAGTGTAATTAACATTAGTAAAATGAGTGATAAAGAATTTAAAAGATTTTTAAAAGAAAAAGTTGAACCAAGAAAATATGAATGGAGAAAATTAATTAAAGAATTTGATGTAATTGATTCTACAAAAATAGGTGATAAAGAATCTAGTTTAACCTCTGTAGAAACGGCTACTAAAACATATCCAACTTTTGATGAATTTTTGAATATTAGTTATGAAAGACGACCACCTAATGTTCAAGGATTAACTTATTCATATAATAATCCTGGAACTAATATCAAGGTTCAAGGTAGAATTTTAAATCGTGATAAACCAGGTGGATTTGCTGTAGGAATTAGTGGAATAGTTGCAAACTTAGTATCTCAAAAAGCTACTTTATTAAATAGAATTAATCGTGAAAGACTTGAAACTTTTTATGTTGAAAAAGCTGAATTTGATGAACATGGAAAACCATCCGTTAGAATTTCTAAAGCTCCAGTTTATAGTGTACATGATGGATTAGATAGTTATTATGGTGGTATAGGTTCACGAAAACCATTTAGACACTTTTTTGATTCGGCTACTCCTAGAAGGTTGGATGATGGTAAAGATGAAGAAGAGATTCTTACTAGAATTAGAAGTTTATTATCTGGAATATCGGAAAATAAGGATAATGATGAAAACACTACAGATCTTGATAATGATATTGAATCTACCCAAATTAAAGATGATTCTTAAATAACTTTACTCTTAATACAACGTTAAATTATACGTAAAATTAAGGTACATTTCTTATTGTTAATAAATTAGGTCGTTTGTGTGCAGATATCTATAAATACTTAAATTTTAACTTCAAAACAATAAATATATATTCCATGCGTCAGACATAGATTTAAATTGAATTGCGTAGCTTCAAAATCGGAATTAAAGAATAAATCATATCAAGTTTAATATTATGCATCAGATTGAAATGTACATAATAAATATAATAATGATAAATAATCAAACGCTTTCGCTTGAATTATTTAATGATTCTTTGACTTACTTTGAAATAACGTACGCGTTTATATTTAATTAACCAATTATGAATTTAAAATAAAGGTACTGTACATATTAACTATACTGTATTATATATGTTACTAAAATTGGTTTTCGAAAAAGATCTATTTCGGTTTTATTAGAGCAATTTGAAATTTTTTATAAGAAATAACAAATAAAATTTATATATTTACGTTTCTTATAATTTTATTTATTTAAAAAAATATTAATAAATTTTGTTATTTAAGTAAAATCAAATTAATCAATTTTATTTTTAAATTTTAATTTTATGTTTTAGAATTTAAAATAATTTTATTTATATATATATGTTGTATTTTAGATCAATTCTTATTTTAAGTATTAATCAACCTAAATTAGAGTTTGAATTTAGGTTAATTAATATCAATTAGTTAATGCTAATCAAACAATTAACATTTAAAATGTTTTAGTTATTATTTGAGATATAATATATTATATAATTATTTAAATTTTAATATAAATTATTTAATTATTTGATTTTAATTACAAATTACTAATATTATTTAAAGATAATATGATGATCATCTCATTAACAAAAAAATTTTTTTGTTAATTTGCATTTTTAAAAATAATATAAAACAAAATACAAAGAAAAAAATTTAATATATTGAAAAACAAATATTTTAATAGAACAATAATTTTTAAAAACTAAAATAATAAAGAGTGTAACAATTTAATAAAGTAAATAAGTTATTTTTTCAAATAACAAGTTATAAGTTTAAAATTTATTGCTATTTTCTGTTAATTAATTAAAATAAGATATTTGTAATTATAGTTACATTAGTTTTTTTTGATATTAAGATGATCTCTCTATCTTTTAATTTTATTAATACTCTTGTCAAACACATATTCATATGAACATATATATATATATATATATTTTAATGTTAAGGTGAGTACATGTGACTTAGAAGTTTATTAATAGTATATATTGGCTAGCATCTGTTGATATAACAGACACAGAGGCAATTATAGAATGAGTGTACAATTAGTTACTTGTACAACTTTAGTTATTATCTAATTTAAGTAGTTCATCTAAAGGTTCTATACTAGTTGCTATATCTAAGACTTATTTGTAAATCTTCTATTTAAACACTTTGATCCTGTATCTATCACATTCTATCAATTATATTAGTAAATTAGTAAAATATGTCATGATTATTAAGTCATATTTAACTTTGTACTAAACCCACTAGATCTTTTTGTATTTTATACTTGCAGTTGACTCAGTATTATTTTGGCCTAGATTATTACTTGCAGTCAGAACTAATTATTAAACCACTATATGCTTATAAGATTCACCCAAACTCTAATATCTATCTTTTTGATATTTTCTCCATTATTCTCTACTAATTGCAACTAAGAACTGACAAAACTCTTCAGACTTTTAATCCAGATGGCCTAGTATAATATACTTTAGTATTCTTTTTTTCTAGCAATTTTAGCAGTCTAGTTGGTCATGTGCTTCTTTATACATCTTACTATCTAATTTATCTGTCTATTCTTATTAAAGTTATTTTATGAGCTTTCATCAATCCAATAGTACTATTAAAAGTTTGTATTATCTTCTTATAAAGATTTCCAAGTAGGCTTTTGACTTCACAGTTTCTTTACTTTCTGCATCCAATAGTCTTATCATAGGTTTGCACCAAAGTCTTATACAATACTGGTTAAGCATTCTTTCATGTATGTATAATGTTATACTTTATATAGATACTCTGAATTCTTATTTGAGATAATGTAACTAAAGATTACAGATGCACCCAATTCAACTGATTGACAGAGTCAGTTACTATAACATAGATATAATTTCTAAATTCATTATTCATGAGATTTGAACTCTAGACTTGCCACTTGGAGATTGAAAATCTGACTATTTTACTAGGTCATCACACTCTATATAAATATATATTTATATTAAACTATTACAAAAAGAATATACAACTAGTATATGTATAACTTTTCTATATTGTCTATTTAAAAAGTCTGCCTAAAAGTTCTTTACTAGTTGTCATATCTAACATTTTACTTAGATGTTTTATTTTAAATTCTTTAATCTTGTAACTTTTGTATTAATTTTATTAGATTATTTAGAATTCAAATTTTTGTCTTAAGCTTAAAAATGTAGTTTATAAACCTATTTTTATTCTTAAGATAAACCTTCCAAAGTTGTTTATATTTCTATTTATAGTTAACCTAGTTATTTTATAACTAGAACTAATATTTGCAGTTAGAGCTAATTATTAAATTGTTTTTATTCTTATAAAGTTTATACAAATCCTAATACCTTTTTTTTATAACATATTTTTTATCTTTTTTTATTAACTATTACTTAAAACTAACAGAACTCTTTAGACTACTAATCTAGATGACTTAATGTAGTATACTTATATATTCTTTTTCTTTTAGTAATTCTAGTAACTTAGTTAATACATATATTTCTTTTATATATCTGTTATTTGATTTATTTAATTATTTCTTTAATATGTTTTATAGATTTTTATTAGTCTAACAACAAACATAATCACAACTTTTTTTGATGATTATTTGAACCAAACTTTCCAAAAAGCTGAACTTAGAAAATGATATAGTTAATATATTAAACTTTATGAAAACCTTTTTGAAGTACTGTACATGCATTGTTGAACATTGAAATAGAATTGAAAAAGAATCACAGCCTTGTGGTGACAGTTTAAAGAGCACTCTAGGACTATAGAATAAATAGTTGGTAAAAGCCAAGGTTTCTTATTAAGTAAACAACAAAGTTGGATATATTAGTTTTATACAACTGTAAAACTTACAAAGAATACCTACAAGGGTTAAGAACTCACAAAAGCTAAAAGTTGGTTTACCTAGCAGTCTTACTTTTTCTTCAAGAAAAATTTTGTAAAAGTAGGCAATTTAGTTTACCTCCTTTTAAAGATTAATATATAAAATCATCAAAACAGTTAGTATTTACTTTCTAAACAGGATTGTTTACAACATGGATCGGAAATAATACAGCAATACAAACATGACTATACACATGCCTCAAGCTACTAAAAACCTATCAAATACTGTCTTTAGACTAACCAGTATCCTATACTAACCCTCTATAATAAAGTCGAAGTTTTTTTTTCTTTTTGGTTTTTTGTTTAAATAATCTAAATAAATAGAAAGATAAAGTAATTTCTATTTAGTATAGTTTATAATTTTTACAAGCCTAACATAGGCTTATAATTGTGATTATCTGATCTCTATGAATTGCAAGTTTCACACCTAACACAGGCTTAAAATTATGACTATCTGATTTTGTGAATTGCAAGTTTCACACTTTATTTTTTTTTTATTTTTTTCTTTCTCCTTTTTATTTCTTGTTTTGTATCTTTTATCATTTACCCTTATACCTTTGTTTTTTTTTTATATATAAAATTTTTGTTTTGTTTTTTTGCTTCTCTACGAGAAGACATTATCAGATTGGTAGTATCCTATTGTAGATAGCAGTCAGACAAGCAGTCTACCTCTGTTTGAGATAGTGCGACAGGTTGCACTTAGATACTAATAAGATGGCTAGGTGATGCTGAACTTAAGTATTAGAAAAATTCTCTGTAATCTGTATAATATCAAAAATTCTAATAAAGTACTAGTGTAACTGCTTAAGTTAAAAAAAAAAATTAGTTTAACAACATCATTGGAAGTTTGTACTATTTCTTTAATCAAAATTTCTATATGAGTTTCTATTTTCTTAGTTTTGTAGTCTTTTATAGTTAGTAATCATATTATAGATTTGTACTAAAGTCTTATGTAATATTAGTTTTTCTTATTTTTTTATATATATATAATATTATATTTTATATAAATACTTTGAGCTCTTAATATTAAGTAGGATCCAACTTGATCTATAGATATGAATCAGTAGAAAAGAGACAAATCATTTTTAGTAAAATTTTTTTAATTTTTAAATTTAAATAATTCAACAACTATTTAATCAAATTTGCTAAAAAATATTTTATTTTAATCTTAAAATTATATAGAATTAAAATAAATAAAAAATTTATCAAATTTAATAAAATAGTTGTTAAGATATTTAAATTTAAAGTCAAGAAAACTTTTACTTAAAAAAAATTTGGTCTTTTTCTATTGACTTACCTTCATATTTAAGTTTACAAATATCTAAATCTAACTAATTAATAAAATACAGTTATAATAAAAATATAATTTTTAAAATTTGTTATCTATAGAAATTAAATCTTAGATTTGTTATTTAAAAGTTAACAACCTGTTTATTTTATTAAATTATTATATTTTTATAGTTATATAATACAAAGCTCTCAAAAGAATTTATATATTTGATAAAGTTATAAACTTAATATTATATTGTTTTTATATTAAACCAACAAACTAATTATTAGTTTAGACCTAACTGCATCTTATTCAGTTAAAGATAGTATTAACTAAAAAGAAACTTTCTTATTTTTTAAAAAAAAATATACTATAATATACTAATCTCAAAAATACTAAAAAGTACTTAAGATTTTTTAGCAAAATCTCTAAGTCATATCCAAAAAATATAGATGCTTTAGTAATGATCTATATAGATGACTTACTTTGAATTACACTTAAACAAAACCATTCTTACAAGCATTTTGTATACTACTTTCTTTTTTTACAAATTTGCTAAT